CCCCCGACCCCCCCCCCCCCCCCCCCCCCCCCCCCCCCCCCCCCCCGCCGCCCCCCCCCCCCCCCCCCCCCCCCCCCCCCCCCCCCCCCCCCCCCCCCCCCCCCCCCCCCCGGGTTATGTGTTAAATATGGGAAAAATAAACCATAATTGTATGAGAAGAAAAAATGTTACTTAAAAAATTATTGAAATATTCGACTGATATAAGCTGCTCCTATAACATCGTATAATATCTAGTATCAATTAGGAGTTTATATTGTACTCAATTTTAGATTATTTTTTCTCGAAAAGATGAAGAAATTGGCATTGTCGACGACAGAAAGACCATTATTATCAAATTTGTATTTTTCATATTTATTATTTTTCATTTGTATTTTCTATCGATTATTTAAATTATTCAGCTATATTATTTATTTTGTTTATTCATACATTTATAATTATCCATCATATTTGTTAAATTTATGGCTTCTAAATCCATGGTTAACATCAGTTATAGTTACTATGTGTCTTATTGGTCTACCAAAGTTTATCTATTATGGAAAGAAAATGTATCCAGTAATCAAACAAATAATTGTATCAATTCTGAAACCACAAACACTAATTAGTATTCCATTATATGTTTTTATAATTTCATTTTTATTTCATTTCTTGCCAGTTTTTAAACAACAACAAAAGCAAATAATTAATATAACTGTAGAAAATATCACCATTTCGACAACTTCATATGTGAATTATTTAACTGAAATCATAAATGGTCTTAATCAATATTGTATTATGAGTATTTTCTCATGTATATTATTTGGTTTTGGTATTTATTCAATAATAACTAGTTCCTGGTTAAAATTTATTCGACATCGTTTAGTTAGTCTTTTCAATATCTTAAAAAATATTTTTTCTTACATTTCTATGTCATGTCAATTACCATTATCATTCACTTTTATCTTACTGTTAAATAATCTTTATCAATTATTTCCTACTGTCATTTATATGGGAACTCAAACATTTGCCTTTGTTTATTATCATTTATTTTGGTTAATATTAATTTTGATATGTACGGCAACCATATGGTTAAAACCTAAAGAACGATTTAAATTTGATAATTCTGGTGAAATTTATGTAGATGATATTAGTCGATTAAACTCCACTCGAATTAAAGCAATATTTTATCCGCGAACAATAAATGATTTACAATATATTGTTAGTAAAGCAAAACATAATGGTAGACATATTTCATTAAGAGGTCAAGCACATACAATGGGTGGTCAAACATTACCTTTAAATCATGATGATTATATTATCGATTTAAAATATATGAATTATGTTGAATATAATGTTGAAACTGAAACGGTTCTAGTAGAAACCGGTGCTACATGGGCTCATGTTATTAAAAAATTAAATTATTATGGACGTTCGCCAGTTGTTTTGCAATCATATTGTACATTTAGTATTGGTGGTACAATTTCAGTTAATGGTCATGGTATTACATGTGATACAGCCATGTATGATAGTATATTGAATATGGAATTTATAGATGCAAATGGAAAATTAAAGCAATGTAATTTGTCAACAAATAAAGAATTATTTTCTCTATTAATTGGTGGTTATGGTTTATTTGGAATTATAACCAAAGTTACATTAAAAACAGTTTCAAATATAAAAACAACAATGGAATTCATAAGACTTGATGTAAGTAAATGAATTTTATAGAAAAATAATTTGATATTATGTTTCATTAACTTAGGCAAAACAATTTCCAACATACTATGAACAATTTCTTAATGATAAAACAATTGAAATTAAATTTGCAAGAGTCGATATTGTACATCCAAATAATATTTTAATGTTTATATTTCGTCGTAAATTAACAACATCAGGAACAATTGCTAATTTAGAGGATGAAGCTCGTGTTATGAATCCAGGACAACAGTTAATTTATACTTGGATATCTCAAAGTCTTCTATTTAGACGAATTCGTTTTGCATTTGAAAACATATTACAGCGACCAGTAGATTTGGTTTTGTCCGATGATCGAAATACAATTATGTATGAATCCGCAAAACCAATGGCATTACTTTATCAACCATGTAATATACTCGATGATACATTTCTATTACAGGAATATTTTATTCCAACAGTAAAGTTTGATTATTGGTATGAAAATCTTCAAAAAATTATTCGTAAAAACTATGATCAATTATTTTTATTAAATTTAACAATTAGATTTGTTAAAAAAGATAATTTAACATTTTTAGCTTATACAAAAGAAAATGATTGTTTTGCATTTGTCTTCTATTTTCGAATTAAACGAAATGAATTTGGTGATAATCAAGCTCATTTAATTAATCAAAAATTAATCAATTTAGCATTTGAATGTAATGGTACATTTTATTTACCCTATCGTCAACATTATACAGATAAACAATTAAAACATGCCTATCCAATGATCGATTCATTTTTTATCAAAAAAATATATTATGATCCAATGCAAATATTTTCAAATTCATGGTATCAAACATATGGACAACACTATGTATGTACATGTTTTCTAAAACCGTATTTCTTATCTCACTTAAGGATCCTCTCCTCCTCAGAAATAATGATTTTCGGCCAATAAATCGATTTTGAGATAAGCACATGAAAAGATAGCCTGCAGTGTCTACTTTCAGAATATATATGATTTAGCACTATATGAATGGTTTTTGAGGGGGTTTTCTGAGCTTTCTGGAGATCGCCCTATGGAAAACGTATTTTTTAAATAACTTTTGACAGAAAGCAGCTAGAGCGCTCCGATTTTTTCCATGCGAAAGAAGAGACTTTTGGGCATGCTTCCACAAGTATAATTCTTTTCTAAAGAGTTTTCGGGAACAGGTTTTCTAGGAGATCTTTGAAAAACCAGGTCGTGTGTAAAAATTTTCGAATAGGATTATATTGATCTTTTTCCATGGGCTGATAGCCCGGGATGTTCTCTGGAAAATGGGAGTCAAACAAGACCTTGATTTTCCGCGGCTCCGACGTTGTTTTGGCTTTCCTACGAGTCCCAGGGCTGGCAACTGATGACTATTGGTAGCCTTGAAAAGGAATGGACTATGGGTAATCGATCACGGTGAGTCTCGTGGCAATATTTGTGTTAAGAGAGAGATTTTAGGAACTCTAAGGCTTTCCGAAAGGATTTCTGGAACACCCATTAACAAAAATATGCTTTTACTATTTTTTCGATCTTATTATCATGTTTAGCGGACAAAATTAATTATATTCTAACGAGGGAAGTACAAATCGCTTTTTCAACGAAACCGAGTGAACTATAGGTAGTCGACGATGCTGATTCCGAATATCACCATGAAAATGAACATTTAGGGCTTTTCTTGTAAACTCTATAACTTTGCAAAGAAAGGTCGTGTAGAGCTGGAGATGCCTCGTTTTAATCGGAAATTTACGGACTACAATTACGACTCATTAAGAAAGCTTTTGGTTGTTCTTTAGAGTTTCTCGAAAACTGGTTGTCCAGAATACCGGTCTTTGAAGGCCTAGTAGCAGCATTCATGGTGATATTCGGAATCAGCATCGTCGACTACCTATAGTCCACTCGGTTTCGTTGAAAAAGCGATTTATCAGTGGGGGCACTTCCCTCGTAAGCTTTTGAACTCTCTTTGATGTATTCTGAGTGAATAGTGAATTTTTAAATATGAGGGGGAAAACAGCCTGAAAACCCCAATTTTCGTAAAACTCGCTTTTCGCTAGATTCTAAGAACTTTTTCTGAATACAAATATTGCCACGAGACTCAGCACGATCGATTGCCCATAGTCCATTCGTTTTCAAGGCTGCCAATAGTCATCAGGTGCCAGTCCTAGGATTCGTAGGAAATCCAATACAGCGCCCGAGCCGCGGGAAATCAAGACCTTGTTTGGCTCCCATTTTCAAGCGGACGTCCCGGGCTATCAGCCGATGAAAAAAAATCAATACAATCCTATTCGAAAATTTTTACACACGATCTGGTTTTTCAAAGATCTCCTAGAAAACCTGTTTCAGAAAACAATTATGCTTGTGGAAACATGTCCACAAGTCTCTTCTTTCGCATGGAAAAAATCGGAGCTCTCTGGCTGCTTTCTATCAAAAGTTATTCAAAAAACACCCATGGTTGTTCTATTTTGGCGTTTTTCTCAAAACTCGTTTTTGTTTGAATATGCACAGTGTGGAACTCTGGAATATTTAAAAAAAGTGTTTCACAGTGGAGGGTAGGTTTCTGACGTTGGACTCTGGAAAACTCCTGAACGGTAAGAGATTGCGAGGTAAAAAGGTTTCATAACCACACTTTGATATGGGAAACATTTGCTGAAAGTGGCGTAAAAATTGGATGTAAGACAAAAAACGTTTTTTTCTGAGGGGGGCCCTTAAAAGACAGCCCACGATAGAAACGTACTTTTCCAGCATAGCGTGCTCAATGAACTTTCACAAACGGCTGAGGACGTTTTGTCTATGTCTAAAGAATAAACTATTTGTGGAAAACGCTTAACACAAACAAGTTCAAATTTTTACCATGGATAGTACTCATATCAAGACAGCTCTGGTAAAACTTTAAGCTCATTAGATTTGATTTCACGGAATTACAGAGTAAGCAAAAGTTTTGGCTGAAAAATCGCTTTTTTTCTCAAATTTTCAGAACAGATAGAAAAATGTATCCTGAGCATTTTTGTCTCTTGATATTTTGTTCCAAAGTGTTTTCCCTCCACGCTAGAGCGGTTGCAAAAAAAAGTCGTAAAATACGGAAAAAAAGCGATTTTTCAGTCAAAACTTTTGCTTACTCTGTAATTCCGTCAAATCAAATGCTAGTGAGCTTAAATTTTTATCAGAGCTGTCTTGATATAAGTACTATCCATGATAAAAATTTGAACTTGTTTGTGTTAAGCGTGCTCCACAAATAGTTTATTCTTTAGACATAGACAAAAGGTCAGCGGCCGTTTTGGAAAGAGCTTTTAGCAACGGAAGATGGCCCGTTTGAAAGGCTCTCTATGGTTTCGTGAAGTAGATCCAGAGTACTTCCATCAACCGTCGTCGAATTTTTAGGGAAATGATGGAAAACACTCGGGGACCTCTTCTCAAAAACCGGTCAGCGCACCTCGGAAAACTCCGAAACTTTTTCTTTTAAAATCCATTAAATTATACATCATTGGACGCAGAATTTCATTCTGCAATTGAATATGTATAAATAAAGATTCCACAGTGCATAGGAAAGGAGAGAAACGCCCAAAACTTCGGATTTTCCAAGGTTTTTCGGAAAATATTTTTCGAAAGTTATCTTGAAATTCAGCCACTTCCGTCGACTAAAAAAGCTTTCTGATTCAAAAGCTCGATGTAGAATTCGATTTTCTATCGATCTGCGCAAACCGCAGATTTTTAACATTAAATTTCGATTTTTCAGAGATTCTTTTCCAAAGCCCTCGATATTTCGCCTTTGCAAACTTTTTCGGAAAACAAAGAGACATGGACTAGAAAGAGAATTTTACATGGATTCCAAATATCACCTTATTCTTGAACAGTGACCTTTCGTTCTCTCGGCGGTCGCAATTCTTTTTTACCAACTTTTAAAATTAAGTTGGTACAAAAAGAGTTACTAGCGTAGTTGGTACTAGCGTCGAGGGAAAGCACTTTGGAAAAAATGTCAAACGACAAAAATGTTCAGAACACATTTCTCTATCTGCTCTGAAAATTTGTGAAAGTTCGTTGAGCAACTTAATTCGTTCGTGTCACGCACTGCCTCTTAAAGATCTCTGTTTTAGATTGATCAAGCAGCAGAACATGTTAATGAACAACATGAGAAAATAATAGACAGTAATGAATTAATAAAATTAGAAGATGAAGAATTTGTTATAGTTGAACAACGACGTAATAATTCTTTTGAACATGTTATTGTTAATGATGAACTTCGGCATAAATTTCGTAAATTTCTTCGTACTGAATTTAATATTGAATCACCACCGGTTCTATTCAATTATGTTAATCGAGCTGTACGTAATCCATCAAATAAAAATGATTATGATATCTATAAAGAACTTGAGATTGTTCTCAATACAAGACAATTTATGTTCTTAAGACGTTTGTATTTGTATATGAAACAAATAATTCAATTAAAAATACAAATGAATGATATTTTACGTCAACAATTAGCTATAATTAAACAGTTAAACATTTCAGAACAAGTAAGTTGTACAAAAGATGTCTAAATGACATATTATCACAATCGAATTGTATATTATCCTAAGTTCTATCTTATTATTTAGATTAATGATATTGTTTGCATTGGAGATGGTGGTCGTAATATTAAACGTTTACGTTCATTATTAAAAATGAAAGGACGTACATATATTTTACATGATCAACAACGTTTAGGAGATATCATTGAACGATCAAGTATATTTCCCATTGGTACATTTATTCCATTTAATATTAATGCAATTGAAGATGTTCCTATTCCAAGTGATTCTATCGACATTATTAATTTATATATGGGTCTTCATCATATACCACAAAATAAATTAAAAAATTTTTTAAATATTGTTAAACGAATATTACGTCCAGGTGGTCTATTTTTTTTTCGTGAACATAATGCCTATAAAAAACTTATACCCTTATTAGATGTGGCTCATTCTGTTTTTAATGTTGTCACAAACGTTGACTTTGAACAAGATAAACATGAAATTCGAGCATTTCGAACAATTGAACAATGGCGTTCATTATTTAGAGAATCAGGTTTTGAAGATACTCTTCTATATGATGAACAAATAGATGATCCCACTGATGACACTATGTTAGTATTTCGAAAACCAATTATTTTAAATCATGATCAACATCAATCACAAGAACAAAGTATTGATAAATTAATTATTTCTGAAGTAAAATCTCCTGTTTCACCTGAATCAAATTGTTTTCGACCATGTGAATGGCTAACGGTTCGAATGGTACTATTATTTGGAAATTATTTATATCATACACCATTTTTTTATTTTCCGTATATAAAATATCTTTCATTATATTGGTCATTATGCATAACTGAAACACAATTGGCTATGAATCAATATGGTGTAAATAAAGCTCTTTTATCTGATGGTTTTATGATGAATGTTTGTGTTGGTCTAATTTTGACTATATTCTTTCTACAATTTGCATTTTTTTCATTTTTTCTTCGTTTAGTAGTGCCAAAACTCAAGCCTGAATATGAACAATTATTTGTAAAAATATCAAATGAGAAAGAAAATAATTTTAACTTTAAAAATGAAATTGATGAACGTATTGAACAAGTGAAGTTGTTAAATAAAGGTTATTATGCACTAAGAGTGCCTCGACATCGACCATTCGGTGAAATAGTTGAAAAATTAGCATTATACAATAAAAATGTTTACTTTGATCTAATATTTATATCAAATGAAAATGGTTTTATTCAAGTTGAATTAAATATAAGTAAGCCTGACAGTTTAATATGGGTTAAACAACAAGCAAATATTAATCCTATCTTTGAATTTAAATATCCAAGTGATAATCAAGAATTGAGTCAAACACAAATCATTATTCAATTAAAAATTGAACATTTATTTCAATTTATTAGACAATGTCAATTACATGATAAATCAATTAAAATTACTCAAGTTTATGATTATTTTGGCTTGAAAAATACGGATTAAGTCAAACATAAATCATTATTCAATTAAAATCGAGCACTTAATTTTAGTTTATAATGATCATCATAAATCTCACTTAATCATAAATCAATTAAAATTACTCAACTTTATGATTATTTTCACTAATATGTAAAAGTAGTGTTTTATTTTAACCAATTATATTACTCATTGTCATGGTATCTCACTTTTTTCTACACTATTAAAGCTCTAAAAACAAACCACTCCTAGTTTAATGAATAGTCCGTAATAGGGGTGGCACTTTACCTGTTACTGGTAACGGTTAATGAAAATCCGTTACCCGTTACTTGCTGTTACCGTTCGGGGAAACTAGGTGCAAAAAAAGTTAAGCGCAAATCCAAAATTTCTCTCGTCCATTTTAAACTCTTGTTTTCCTCGAAGGTAATCATTAACCGAGAGATAAGTTTTGATTAGAAAAAAGGTTTGTATACTCGTACTTTAGTCTAATCCGTACGCTGTAACTACTTCTATTAAAGAGAACTGAAATGATTGAAACGACAGCAATATTCATTGTTTAAATGTTCGTCATGATGTAACTTTTGTTTTGATCTAATTCTTGCATCTCGTAATAATTGCACCAACGATTTTCGAATAAATGGCCATACGTTGTTTACTTGAACCATCGATTTATTGTACCGACATTGAATAGCTTCTAAGTGAATTTAAACAAAATAGTATAAACAAGAAATCTAGATTAAGCGGAGGGACCATGATAGTAAGTTATTCCACCAGAAAACTAATTGATTGCGGCACGAATTTACGTGTTGTTTTCACCATAAAAGCTACTATAGGATGAAGACCATTTTCATGAACTAAGTATTTATTGTGTTGTTGTTTGCCAATGTATAACATCAATCGATAATACCATCTGATTGGTACCATTATCCAGTGTGCTAATTGATGACTAAGTACATTTGAATAACACGACGCTAATATACCATTTACAATTAATGTGCCTATAATAGATGAGAAAAAAATATATTAAAGTTCAAATCTAAATGAGAAAAAGACTACATCCCTGATTCTGACATTGGTGCATAATATCCAGTTTTTATTTCTATTGTTATATTTCGAACTTCTGTTGGTATTAATTGCTCATTATACACAAAATCTCCTACTTTAATGTCTTTAGCTAGTTTATAAATCATACTGTCAGATGATCGTATTGGAAGTAAATGATTGGAAGTCAAACTTAATTTTTTATCGCATTCAGCTTCAATTGTATAGAATGGAACTAGAAGTAGACGATGTATAATAAACGGTTAGACAGACTTCTTGCTACAAAAAGCCAATATCGAACGGTTACCTTGTTTATTCGATTCACTATCAAGCATAAGAACAATATCTGTACCATCGTCACTACTATCCATCGGTGCTGCAACACGATCTCCTGGCTGAAGTTTGGCTATCTCTTTGTAAGTACCATCAAACATTTTAACTGCACTGTCGACAGAAAAGCAACCCTCTATGACAGACAACACAAGAGAGAAAGGAAGATCCATGTGTTGATAGAACAAGTTTTGATAAAATAACGTACTGCTACTATTATTTTGGTCACTAGACGAAGCCGTTGTCGCTGGAGCTGTTGATGAAGATGATGATGCTAATGTTGCTGTTGTTGAACTATTATCTGTATATCAAACATAACTACGATGAAACTAATGAAGTTACTTCGTTTCGGGTTAAACGTCGGTGTGCATAGAGCTAGCTCAATAGGAATCTTTTATCATTTTTATCGAGATACTTTTGTTGGACTATCGCTCGATATTTCAGTCTATGTATCTAGATGTTTTCACTTGACTTCCTAGACTTGAGCTACTAGAAGCACGGCGCATACTTGTTGTTGGTGATGATAATGTTGCTGTTGCTGTTAAATTAGTACCTATGTATTAAACGTAGGAAAACTAAGTTATTCAAATTAAAAAGATGAAGTCAGTTCGTTTCCTTACCACATTCAATGTCGAATTTTAATATTCCCCAGCTGTCAGCAACAACTAAATTACCCTGTGAGTCGAGTATTACCGCTTTTGGTGAAACTAATCCGGCATATGGATTGGAGTAATTATAATCTATAGCTATTTGGTCTAATGTTCCGTTTGGCGCCCATCGTTCTACTCTCATATAAGCACCAACTGTATAACTGTAACCTTGGTCATCAACTGTTAATCCATACCAGCCTGTTGCTCCAGAATGGTTATATGGATAACCGCCCCCTACTATTATTCCGTTTGAGTTTCCTGGCAAGAATTTTAACACCCTAGCATTGCCATCATCTGCGACATATAAATTTTGATTAGAATCCAGGTAGGTTGCGTACGGAAAATATAGCTGATTTGTTGCATTTCCATATGTTCCATTTAAGCCCGCTACAACGGTACCACTGGTTGATCCTGCTGCATATTTCATCACTCGATTGTTGGAGGCATCACATACCCATAAATTATTGCTTGAATCCACAGAAACTGTAGTGGCACCACGCAATTGATTTGCACCCAATCCTACACCATTTCCGCCGGCTACTGTCGTTCCGAAAGTGGCACCAGGCGCCCAACGTTGTACACGATTGTTAGAACTGCCTGTTACGTACACATTTCCACTGCCGTCCACGCACATCCCCCTATTTGTCAGTTACCCACTGAAAAAAAATTTACAAATTCCTGCATTGACACGCAGGAATCTGAAAAAATCCTGTAAATGTTGGATATATATTGCAAGTTTTTACATCACGTTACCTCGCCGAAAATTTTTCTGCAAGTTGGTGAGTATAATTGAGCAGGATTCTTTAACACGCTCACTTTTCAAGTTTCTTTTCTGCAGGATCCTGGAGGATTCTTCTCTAGGCACACCCACCATGCAGGAACTTTTACATGCGTTCATGCGATGCCTCACTTTGCATAGCCTGCGGAATTTTTTCCTTCCTGTTATCACTTGTAATACACAAGATATCTCAATACGCAAACCCTGCAAGGTCTGTAGGATTTTTTCATGATGATAAAAACTTGTAGCTTGTGAATTTTGTCCGCCATGTCTACCTTGCGGCATTCTGCAATCTTTTCTCATCAATGTCTGTGCAGGGTGAACTTGTCTGTGGAGGAACTTGTCTGTATTTTTTATTTTGGGCAAGTTAAGTACTTCTGCATCTTTTCTTGTAAAGTCATACAAGCTTTTCTCGTGTCGAATAAACTTCGGGAATGTATACCTTAATATTTTTAACTATAACTTATCCATGGTTTAGCGAAGTTTTTAAATTATATACCATTCAACAGAGTATTCAAAGGGATTACTCTCATTTCGTCCCATAGTTGTTTCGTTCCGTTTATTTTCTAGCATTCTACTCATTTTATAACTATTCATTTTTTTTTCTATCAACTAATCATTATTAGTATAATTCATTAAGATGATGTAAGAAATTGATAGATGGCTTTATAAGTTACATTTATTATTTTATTTACGAGTTACAATGAAACAGGTAATTTGAAAGTATTAACACATTTGCCACATTTAATTGCAAGTTCAGTTCCAGATAAAGTACCATTTTCATACCGTGTAAAATACTCCCTCAATTTATTATTACAATTGTTGTAAACTTTCATCCTCTCGTTTCGTCAGATCCTTACCATTGTTTCATTCATGAGTATTGTTTCTTTGCAAAAGCTTTTCCATTAAACAATTAAATTCTATCATGGAGTATACAAAATGACTTCGTTAAAATTAAATAGCTATTGATCCAGGTTTAGAAAAACCTGGTGACGTATCAGCGTATAAATATATCAGCCATGTATCAGTTTCTTACGTTATCTTAATGACTTATATTAATATTAATTAGTACACAGTTGATAGAAAAAAATGAATAGAATGCTAGAAAATAAACCGGACGAAACGAGAAAATACCATTCAAAGCTGAAGAAATTTAGAATAGTGTGACATCTCTGCTTTGCTATACATCTTTTTTTCGCAGTAGCATGATCATTCTAATGACTTTAATGTCTTATTGACGGAAAAAAATAGAATGTTCCGGACATAAAAAAGATCTTTTCAGCTATCTATTAATAGTTTGGTTTTGTACACATGAAAATGCGTGTTAAAGTCAAAATATTAAGGTATACGTTTTCTAGAAGTTTATTGAACACGAGAAAATTTTTAATAATTTTATAAGGAAAAAGTACTTAACTTTCCAAAAAAAATAAAATACAGACAACTTCCTCCACGCAAATCCTGACAGACATTCGTGAGAAAAGATTGCTGTATACCGCAGGATAGATATGGAGAAACCAGAATCCTTTTTCTTTCAACCAACAAAATTCTGCCAGATCTCGTAGGAAAAAACTTGTGGATTGAATAAGTCAAAAAGTCTTGCGATGTTTCTTACCTTTACGCAGGATTTTTCCATGCTGACCCTACATAAACTATGCAGGGTTCTGTCAGGACTGACAGTATAAAAATCCTGCGTAAAGGTAAGAAACATCGCCAGATATTTTAATACTGATAACGCGCGGGATCCTGCGCAAAGTCCTGCAGGATCCTGCATGAATTCTGATTATTTTTTTCAGTGGGTACTAGTCAAAAATTGTTTTTCAGCTTTTCTAGTCATTACAAGAGCAAAATTGGTATCGTTGTTAGTGGTAGTATCATTCGACATTATTATACGTGGTGAATCGATATAGTTTTGTTATTGCGTATGAAATAAATCAAACTAAATTAATAGTTTATTACTAAAAGATAACAGGCGAAGAAAAGTAGAAAGAACTGTCTTCATTTTCTTTAGAAGGTATATGTGAGCTTTCAGAGACAACACAATAATTTTCAACATAGACGAAGCTCACATGTATCTCCTAAAGAGAATGAAAAAAGCATCGTCCGCTGTTTTACGCTTTTCTGCATTTCTTTTTCTCATCGTGAACTTGAACAGCAAGCATTCTTGATCTATCGGACAATTTTCAAAGTACTATATGAGTAACATACACATGCAGCTGCAAGTAGTCATTTTTAAAAAAAAATAAAATTATAAAACATGAGTTATGAGAAAGATCCTCTGAATTTTGCTTAACAATGTCGAATGATACTACCAATAACAGTGGTACCAGTTATGGTGCTTTAAATTTAAATTTATATTTAAATTTGATGATGACCATTTTATGGATTCTGCACATTTTATACAGTGGAATAGCAAAATAGCTAAAGTTTTAAGAGAAGAATATTGTAAGCTACGTGGAAAATATAATTACGATCTCCTTATGTTGTTAATGTATAAAAGTTTTGATAAATAATAATTTTAATTTAAAGTAAGATTTTCAGGTATTATTCTGATGTAGAATCAAAATCGTTCATACTGTTTTTTCCATCTGTGAATCCATCGAACCTTCAGAATTCGCCTTTGTAGCTCTACATCTACTGATGAATTTCCCATTTTATGGAATTAATTTTGATGACAATAAGCAAGTGAACGATGAGGTTAGTTTATTACAAGGTTTTTCTCCAATTAGCGGCTTGTGCGCAAACATCTCTTTACAGTTTCTTAAAATTCACATAATATTTGTCCACGTAGATTCTGTCAGATGAAGAGGAAAACAACTTACCAAACAATGAAGAAATATTTACTCAAGAATCGACTGATCCTTCACCTTGAACGACATCAACGTCATCGCGAATTATTTTCAAACATGCCAATCAATTAAGAAAGCCAAATAAAAAATGAAAGAAAATGTATAGCAAAAAAATAACAATAGCTTAGCTATTGAAAAGTTAATACGGCATAACCAACATCCATTTGTTTACTTTTAGTGGTAAAAATTTTAAAAAACCAATGACATCTGTAATATAAAACTGATGATACTGCGAAAATGGTTTTGGTTATCAATCGGCCTTATAAAAAATCCTAATATTCACTTTCAAATCCTAGGCCTGGATAGGTTTGCAAGATTGGCCATCGAGCCTTTTACCATCCTGCTTGTCTTGAACGGTTCTCGAATTCATTTTGAGTTTTAAAATTTCCAAAATCCGTTTTCTAGACCTAGTTTTTGATGAAGATTAAGAAAAAAATTGTTTTGGAGTTTTCAGAAGTAGAATGAATAGTTAAATTTTGAGTTTTATTCAAAATTTTGCCTGTTTTCACTTGTTTTTGAAAAATTGATCCTTACGATTTTTTTAACTGAAATATGTGTTCCAAAATTGTGGGATTAAGTTTTTTCTATGCAATCCGAATTGCTCTATCCAACCATGGCAAAAATACGAAAAATAACATTCTGCACCTTACAGGAAAAGAAGTGAAAGAAGAAATGTGTATATGTTTAAAAATTAGTACTTTCAATCTCATTCCTCTAAAATCCACAGGTGTGGACATTTGATTACTGGACTCAGTACTTCCAAGCGACTTGACAGAAAATGTATTTTCCTGTATAATTATAGACAAGATCCTTATAGTAGCAATAGTAATCAACCACTTCATTTAAAAACCTTTGTATGATTAAATCTATGGACAACGTTTTAAAAAACTTCAATAATTTGCAACTCTTAAGTTTTAAAAGTTAATTATCTCGGTCAAGATCCATAGAAATAAAACCAATCAAGAGCTGCTGAAGACTTTCAGGTTGGAACAAAGTCCGATTTTGATACAATGTTTCGTTATTTCTATATATCAATTTTATCAATGTCCACGCCTGTGGACATTCAGAAATAAAGGGTTAAACCAATAAGAGAATAACTAATAATTGAGTTGGATCAAGTTTTGGATATCCTACTGAAAATCTATGTTCATTACATACTTTCATGAAGGATCGTAAAAATATTTTGGATCTCTAGCGATGTATCGATGGCATGATATATACAAGGTACTGCTCGTCTGTACTCGCTCTATCCCTTGACTTTAGGAACTTCTATCTGCGAACGACCTTCCATGACTTTTGAATGCAAGACAACGCTTGCGCCTCGCATCAGTCGGTGTTTGCTAGAGGATTATCCAAAATACGTGATGCATTTTTGTCTGATTTGCTGAATATGTAAGATTCAGTGCGCGACAAAAGTTTCTCCCGCAGAATAAATGATTTATTCCACCTTTAGGAAAGGCATTGGGACTCATTTGATAACTATAATATACATTGCTCTTAGACATTTCAACACTTATGTTCAGCTTCTTTATTTCTTGTGTTTTTCGTTTTAGATTCGACAAATACTAATTCACGCAAAAATGCGCCATTTAGCGAAAGAAGAGTGTTTATTTGCTGTCAAGGTGGCACAAAAACCAAATAAAAAATTAAGTACGATTGCACGTGCACTTAAGTGTGACCGTAGAACAGTTAGTCGTGTCCTGATGCGCTTCTCGGAAACAGAATTATTAACCGATCAGGATCAACCAGGTCGGCCAACTGCTCTTACTGAAGACCAGCAAAAGATGTTAGACAAGTATATCACAAAAAATCCAACCGCAACGGCTAACCAACTTTCTAACAACTCTATGTCTTTGGTGAGTTTGGCATTCGAGTTAGTGGACGCACGTTGCAACGATATCGTCGTGCTCTCGGCTTTTGTCCGAGAAAGCAACAAGTCAAAGTAAAATCAACTGAAGGTCAAATCGAAAAACGACATTTTTTTGCGCTAGAACATCAAAATACTGACATCAAAAAGTGGATTTCTAGTGATGAAACTCAAGTGCAATTACGTAACTCAGGTACAATTGCTTGGGTGAAGCGTGGTGAGCCAACACCGGTTCATGAAATTTCTTCACTTCGTGCTTATGTCAGTTTGTGGGGTGCAGTCTGGTGGAATGGAAAAACGTTTGCAAGGTATGATGGTTACATGAACCAAACGCAATATCTACATATATTAGCTTCTCATCTTGGTCCACATGTGCATAAATGTCGTCGTTATGCTGTAGCTCAAGACAGATTAAGGTCACACTGGGCAAAACCAGTTCGTCAGTGGTTTGAAGATTGTGGGCTTCGATTATTAGACTGGCCGCCTCATTCGCCTGAATTTAATGCCATTGAATACGTGTGGCACTGACTCAAGGAAACAGTGAGATTGGCACAGCCAAAAACTCAAGCGGAGTTAGACGCAGCTGTCGATGAAGCCTGTCTTCTCATTTCGCAAAAAGTTATCCAAGGGTGTATTTCACACATTTCTACTTTACTCAAACAAGAAGCAAGCAGGTAATAAAAAACGATGTGTTTATTAAATGTCTAGAATTGCTCTGTCTTTCTATATATTGAACTCTATTTCCATGTGTTGAAATAAAGAAAAACATCTGTCTCAATAGGGGCGAAACTTTTGTCGCGCACTGACTGGTAATCTAATGTAAATCTAAAGCGTTTTCTTGAGGTCCTGCAAAGATCCACAAAGGTCTAAAAACATTTCTGAATTCAAGAAAGGAGGAAGTGTTTCTGATCGATTTGCTATGATAAATTATCTATATTCTGTAAGATTTATTATCCGCAGACGTTTATTGTGTTACAAAATTTCGACTGATTTCTGGCAACATCGCTCACTCAGAACAACAGAAACGCCTTGCTTAGCTTTTTTCTCTCTGCATCAGTAGATATTTCAGGTCGTCTCGTTGAATACTTTCGCTCTCTGTGGTTAAAAAAGAATTTTCTATTTTTCTCTTGTGATCGGCTTATCTATGGAATATCTGACAAACCATTTTTCGTCTGTATTTTGCGCGCGCACACACACACACCCAAGACTAGTCTATTTTTACAATTCGGGCATGCTTGATTCACAGTATCCATCTCATGCATTATACAGGCATACAAGAATCGAGTCAGAGACGTGATATACGGGCACGCTGCTTAACAGCAAAATACATGAATTTTGTCTGTACTCCAAGCGACATGCATTTTTTGGTCTGTTAAGATACATTCTGTTCTCTCATTTTTCTATTCACCATTTTGTTTTATCAGTGCAACAGTTATATAAACATTACAGTTTACTTGTATATATACTTATACTTAGGTATATTTCAAAGTTTTTGACTTGATGCTTTTTCCTGTCATGTGAGAAGTACTAATTAACACTAAATAAAAAATGAAAACTGGAATGAAAATTCACTAATTAACTGTTTTTCATTTTGGAATATCCATGCCGATTCAATTTTTATTGTGCGGACATCTGG